GTACAGAGGTTGGAAAAAGAACGCATGGCAATTTTACCCTAGATTCGAAACCAGGACCTACTACATATATCTTGGTACCATCTTAGATGAAACAAACACTGCAGGACCACTTTAGGTGAAATGTGCGCCAATTAGTACGAAATAAAACCGGCCCATATGCTTTACAGAAAATTGTTCGTTTATCCGGCACGGCAATTTTGATTTTGCGGTTTAGTAATAATTTACGCACTACAAATGTTGTGAAAACATTAATGATTTAATGAACAAAACCGCCAAGGCCCTTGTGATTCATCAGATTATCAGGCAAAGCAGACAAATCTCGGTTTAGTGGAAGGTCGGAATCCATACTAGTATCAATCCGACCAGATCATTAGATTAAACCCTGCAGTATCTTTGTTTTGTCCTTATGAAAATAATAGAGCTCCTACGTTGTATACCACTTAATTATGTATGCAGTTATATTGCAGTCACCAACGGATGCAGGTGCAGATCTGTTAAACTGATGAACAATCTCTAGTTCTTCAATGTGTAAAATGAAGGAGCCACCTAATGCTTGGGAATTCCGTACAACCGCCTCATACCTTCAAGTTACGAAATAGAAGTTACGCGGTGCCTTAAAATGCAGTTCTTAGTGGACGGTTTATTCTTCCGCTGGATAGCTATGTTGCTGGAAGACGGTTTTCGTGTAGTTGGAATCAATCAACCTTCCTTTTATTTGATGGTGAAAGCAGAACCTGGAACATTAAATCGACAATCTCATCTTTCATATCAGACACAAAATCGGTCGTCGGGTTACGACGTCACTGACTGTCATATTGTCATCCAACAACTCACCGTATGGCATGATACCGTCTATCTTGTCCAACAAATTTGACAAAATTAATGAGAACTATAACAAATACGTCTAACTGCTAAAGAATTGTGTCATATTCTATCCGACGAAAGTGATGACCGTTGTCTCTGTGTAGTATGTTTTGGACATCTGAAACAATCAACTCATGGGTTCAGGATGTTGACAGGATGATGCGTCGCATAAGTCTCATCAAGAAAGACGTGTTATATACCATGCGGTATCACTTTACCAGAGTGTCTGTCAAGGTAACCTTTTGGCTTGCAGTGGGATTCTGATAGTCCGCAATGGGTTTTTTCCAATTGATAGGGGGGTAGATGTACGAATATTCGTCAGTTGACTAAAAATATTATTTAAGGATGAAAATCAAAAGTGTTTGTTTGGTCTGTGGCTTTCCTAAATGGTATTTTGCTAAGTAATACACTAAGTACATTAGGCGCAAATGACGGGTGTGTAGCGATTTTAAGATACTGGTGTTTCGATCAATTTCGCTGCATTTATTTGCATCCCTTATTAAGTGTGTGACAGCTATAACAATTCCAGGGGGTGACAATTAGGGCATCAAGGTAATAACGTAGAGGCTATTACTTGCCGTCAAATTTGTTGGCAATATATTGGGCGATTGGCAGACTTTATTTACCAAGACGCTGTTAAACCGAAAGTTTTATTTTTATGATTTGCAGGGAATTTGCTAACCTTGTACGACTTTCAGTTTTAGGTGCGATCTCCCTAATAAACTCGCATCTGTTCATCTTAAAGGGATTGTAAGTCCTAATTTGTTTGTTGTTGCACAACGTAGTGAAATGAAGAACCTCAAAGTCTTGTCCCACGATCCTGAACCACACAGGATAAAATCATTAATATTTTACAACGGATGTAGTCGTCATGTATGGGTCGATCTCACAATGATGTAGCAAATCCTAAAAGCGTTATCCACATTTGCATCCCACTTGTGAAACTCAGCCAAAACTTAACTTCGTGGAGTTATAATTTTTAAGTTGGCCACAAAGTACAGCCGAATGGGTTGCCGAATAAAATTGTTCTCCCTCCGAGTGTCACGGCTCTGGAACTACCTCCAAGTTAATGTAAGTATTGCACCACCTTATCCATACTTAAAATACGACCTGACGTTAAGCTGAAAAACCTTATGCTACATAATATAACTCATGACCATCAAAAAAGATCAACAGTTGAGAAAAAATAACAGTGGACGTTGTCAAAATCCTCCTCAAATCTAAGCAGAAATTGTAAATAAATTAGCTATTCAAAACCTCGTTTTAAGTCATGCAGCTATTTCTAATAATCCTACAAGAATTAGTAAGCATTTTCTTTGCTACGGGTCATAAATAATATCTCCGTTTCTCCCAGGTTGTAAATTCGGCAGCCGGCAGAAAATGCAAAAACTAAAAACATTGTTGAATGCAAATGTAATTCTGCCTCTTCTACTCGACATGAGCGTAAATTAGTCCATCCGAAGAACTGCAACAATCTGCTTTCGGCTGGAGATAGCAGCTTGTGATCATCTTCATCATCGTCATTATCATCGACGTCATTAATAATTGGCCACGAAAATTTAGTAATGATTAACAGCTAATCCATCAACTACTGTTATGCTAAGCCACTCTGGAACGACTCAGGCAGTTAATAATATGATCGGACAAAGCAACCTATGAGGGATTTCTTAAACAGAGTAATGTATCTGCTATTATTGTGGTTTTATGATTTACATATAGCCTGTTACACCTAACATAAAGTAATATTCTCGGAAACCGAGAACCAAATACTGTGTACAGCAATTATGCTAACTTACTTTTTTAGATTATTTAAAAATGAATTCATTTGCACGGCATGACAATTTTATAATCCTCTGTAAAATTGCATAAAATTGAGCACCAGCGCCAAAACTAATGCACATCGACGTCTATCTCCACCGTGGAAGCATGGAATTTATTAACGGCTCTTCAAAACCCATTCGGGTACACCTCATAGTGCACAAACGTAGCACAAAGATTTTATGTAGAACACAACCCTATTAAAGTAAGGAATCATTCAAACTCTTAACATGTAACTACCGGAGACTGGAGTAGTTAACATGGGCATTTGTTTTGAAATCATAAGGTTTTGTAAGTAGTAAGTGGGTGTATTAAATTTGTGTGTAGATTCGTTGCAGTTAATCCCAAGCAGACAGCAACCATACATCCAGCAAAGCGCTATACGGCCGGTTCGGTCTATTGGGACTCATCAGTAGCACGCACCCGCCTAATCCTACCAGATTCGAATCCACGACCTTACACTTGCGAGTCTGCGAGTTATGCCACTGAGTCATGGGCGACGGCAGCGGATCACATCAGCCCTGTCCTCTGCACATTCATAACATGCAATATAGTGTAGGATGAGCCGTGCTATATAGCAGTTAGCTAGCAGTCATGTCGAATTGTCTGTCGAGGCTTTTCTGCTTCTGAGCTAAATTAATGCAATGCAGCTTGTGCCTGCAGTAGTAAACGTCCCTGGAAATTGCCGATTTATATATTAACTCTGCACAATAGCCTACTATTTTGATTGTGTCGTTGTAATAGTTGGGGTGCATAATGTCGGCTTGCAGCATTTATGCCTAAAATCAGGTCGCCCGTTCTTTCCGATTATCCTAAGCCAAGTTATGGCTAGCATTTATGAAGCAAGGTCGAGTAGCATATCAGCCAAAGGGTACACATTTCTCATTCACGAAGTTCAGTTACTGAATTTTAAGAAAGAATTTAACAAGCTTATGTTAAAGAAGACAGTCTGTGGTTGGTTATGCTTCACTTTTCCCCGTATCAGCAATGCGTATAATTCCGTGACTTCATGACTTGCTTACTGGTCAATAAATAAGGAGATAAACGGTATTCCAGTCACTGCGCTTGTTAGGCTCGATGATTGACTCACAGTATACGGAGACATTTCAAAAGCAGGATCATTTAATCGACTAGGCGTAGATACATATCAGGAGCAATCCCCGTGAAGGGTGTTGATTTTCATCGGATGCATCTGACAACAAGTGTTCCATCTACAAAGCAGCGGATTCATAGCTTTAAAACCTTGTGATCTATCAAATTCATATCCCATAAATTTCATACAAGATCTTAAAATATGCGACATTTACTTTACAAAAAATACAAGGAATTAAGTACCTTTAGAAAACCGTTAGATCAAGGAATCACAACGCTAACGGTATAAAGTAAAATATAATTTGTATTAGTACATGCCACTTATAAAGTGACGACTAGTTTCTGGAATTATATTATGCCGCTGTCTACTGATTTTGAATATTCGTTTTAAAAGTAGCACTGGCGATCTTACAAGCGGACAGCCAAAATATCAAAATGCCCAACGTTACCAGATCCAAACAATTAATCCAGTAAGAAGTGCAAGTTTTATTGTAAATCTTAATGCCATAAAGCAAATTAGGTGATGACTTGGCTATCCGAATTCGCTGAGAAAACCTGTAATAATGAGTACCGTAGTGCAAAGCAAGTGTAGATTATGCAGTAGCTCCGAAGGAAGAAATAATGGAAAAGGTTTGTTTAGGATATAGTCTAAGTAAAGAGTACATTTGCGATTGCCATATGATAATTACACTAGCAATAAAATTAACTGCTTCATTTAACTAATGATTCAATACAGACAGACTGCTGCAAAATGCAAATTTTGCGGAGTCATACGAGGAAAACGACCTTGTATCAACTCAAGGACAGTCTGGTTTCGAATTGAAAATAACACGATATATGGAGCACTGAGAACCATCCCAATAATTTTATTCAAAAATATGACCAATTTCTGATATAAATTGTAAAGCAGTACCAGCCAGAATCAACTCGACTTTTGGTAGACACGCGTGATCATGATGAACAAGCTGGCCATATTGTTGGCTGCTCTTATTCATTTGGCACCTGTTGTTTGGAGCACAAATTTCGCAAGTTGCGGTGAGTTGATTATTGACACTGAAAGCAGTTCCTTCATTTGGGCTATGCCAAACTCAGCGACATTGCTGTATTGCATTAAACATTTTGCACTCCAGTCAGTGGTGTACATGATAACGAACGTATCCGTTGCAGGATCCCAGATTGGCTCGTTGGTTAGTGTGTCCATAACACCGTGCAACATAGAGCCGTGCATGCTGTATACGGAAACCACTGTAGACTTAAATATCCAGTTTACGGCAAGTAAGTTGGCAACTTGTGTTCTACTCGTGTGGCCTATTGATGGATGTGGACGACATCTAGCAGTTTGTCCTCATCTATTTCCGCTTTCACAGAAAAAATAATCCAACGTGGTCAGACGGCGATCAACGCGACTATTTATGGATACTCGTTCCCATTGGGCCTTTACAATGACAGCCTGTGTGCCTACACTCAGCCTGGCTGCCCTATCCAAGCGGACGGAACCGTTTACAATTACACGTATGGGTTTATATTTCGCCCAGCTTCATCCCGGTATGCCTCGGAAATATGTGATTCTCCAGTTTGTATTAGCAACAATTTGCTGCGAATTTGATTGAAAATTGACCAAGGAAATGAATTACTTGTCTAAAGGTTTGTAACAGCATCACCCGGGGAATATACTTATTTTACCACAAATATTTTCGTGGTACAAGCAACATCCGCAATTGTTAACGTTTATTCAGCCTACAATTGTTATTACGTCTCGCCTCAATTTCATGTATCCGGGGTGTCTTCCTAGATAGTGCGTTCTTGAGATCTTCCCTAAATTAAACGCACGGTCTGTAGAGTGTTGGCCTTGTTTACAATTACAATTGTCTCGTGGAAAAGCAGTAACGGCTTAAACAAATTTGTGCTTGTCAAACTGATGAAGATGTGTCCACTCGAATGTCTACTCTTTCACCAAACCACTTGACTGCGAGAGGACGTGTGTATTCATACCTGCATGCGCTTCCACGTTTATGAATAACCCTAGTCGATCAGAATCTGAGAAACAGCCTCTAATCACTGATCCAAATTGAAGCCACAAATTTTGTAACCTGTTAGTACACATGGTTCATCTTTTAGGTAAATGCAAAAACATGTTATCGCTTCATTCATTTTGCAGATGCCGATGGGGATAAGATGGACGCTGTCATCCAACAAGGAGACTTTGGCGTGTGCGGATTTCCAAATAAGGATCGTAAATCCTATACCGACCGTAAACAGAGTACCCCCGGTCGCTGCTCCTTAATTTGCTGTTTGACATTGTGATTCCTCCCTGTACGGATATTCCGCTTTAATAATTGTTGATGTTGATTCAGTAGCCTAATAAAGACAGTGTAGCAGATATTTGTAGGTCTTATACTCAGCCGAATATGCTCAAATGCAAAGAGTTAAAATAGGCTAATCACCTAGTTATTCGTGCTAAAATTTGCAGCGGCATCTTTACATTGGTACCATGCGTTTGCATTAATAGGTTAAAAATAATAGTTTAAGAAGCTAATGAATTTAGGAAAAGCATGCGATAGTAAAGAAGAAAGTGCAAGATGGGGACAAGATTTACGAAACACGGATGCTGTAATATATTTTGTCATTACTATATATTGAAGATATTACATGTGCAAGCTAGTATTCAAAGAAGGACAGAATGCGTTTGGATGGTAGGTGGCGCGAAAGCTGTACGTTTTCGACAGAGCAGTTTGCCCAAATCTCGCATAGATTTACAAGACGTTATTTGACTATTTGATATAAGAACCGTTTCTGTACCACTCCTTAAGCATAAATTTTAATACCAAGTGTGAACTTGCGTGTTCTTAGGTGATAAGGGATATAAGTCGCGTACTTCCCCTGGTGCTCCTAGCACGATTTCTGCTGGAAATTGTTCAGTGCGTCAAACTAGCTTTTATTCTTCAATTTGATAATTTGTTTTTACAAGAACGTAATGAATTGTGAAGCTGATTACTTGCAAAGAGATTTAGATACATCCAACGCATAAGTATATTAAAATCACACAGTATTTATTTAGACGATATAATGGGAGGGATTGCTGAGAGCCACTCTGAGTACGACTGTTGCTACCCATCTATGAAATGGATCAGACCGCGATTCTATTCTTTCCGTAGTTGTTCCCTGTAGGCTTTCCAACGGTTCACTGATTATATGGGACCCAGGATATTATTCTAGCCTAGCCGTGGTTAGAAATGCCGGGATAGGAAAAATGGGCTCCAGCAGGTGTGATCACGTAATTAGCCCTGATCCAAAGCGATACCATTCTCTACTTGCCATGTGCAATTTCATGTCGCAGAGAATAAATTCTTCTCTCCAATGCATTATTTCCTACCTGATAACTCATTCTCCGGGGTGACAGTACCTGTAATTTTAAACTGGCACCGAATCTATGGAGTAGTTTTACAAAAGAAGATTTATCTTAGCTGTAGATTCGTTAAATCTGGCTTCTCGAATTCGTTCAAAAATATCAAGATTTTATGTATGTCAAAATCTGCAAGGCGAATTTTCCCATAATGGGATCAGCTGCGTCAGCATTTCAACCAAGGTTTACATTGGTATCCCATCAAATTCTATGTGAGTATATTAAACCAGAGGAACGTCCAGAAAGCATTAACCACTGCACAAATGCAGTCGCTGTGTGCTTGCATAAATGGAATACAGAGTGAGCAAATTTATGTTTGCTAGTTACTATCTATTATTACTGTCACTTCAGTTCAGCGACATGTGCTGCTGGTCAGGTGATACAAGCTGCTAGCGGTCATATCGTTGTGGACAAAAAGCAGACAATACTGTGCCAGTTATCAGTGGTTTGGGATAGCCAGCATGTGAAACGGCAATTTGTTAATAGCAGGTGGTAACGACCCTCCTAAAATTCTGAAACACTATGGAACCGCATTTTACGAGTAAGGGAAATTTGCTCGTAAGCAGTGCGTGACACACAACCCTTAGGCACAGAAAAAGGTCCGCGCGATGCACTCTCCAAAAGGAAGTGCGACGATGGTTGTTTTTTCTTTGGTCAACACAATCTTCAGCACAATACATGCTAGCTAGATTTGGAAAACACCACAGCTTCAACGACGCGTTAGTTAACAGCAAAAATAATAAGAAGAAAAGAAAGAAATGCGTGCCAGTTAAGCTTAGATTAACGGATGAGCATCGTTCCGAAAAAATCTAAGCCGGCTAATATGCAACGAAACTTTAGTACGGCAAACTATGTTATATTAATAAGTGAGTTCGTGCTTTGTGGGGAAGACTAACGGTGATGGGGTGGCCTCCTATCTGTGTCAACAAGTGTATCCAACCGAACTGGTTCATCGTCTTTCAGACATAAACAGGAAGCGAGACGCTCCGACGGAGGCCAAATTTGAAGTAATTGTCTTCATTACTCTTGACCAAATCACCGCTTTGCCACCTCTCCTCTTCATCCATCCACACTGCTGGCGCGCAAACAACGCACGTCGCGGAAGTCGGTGGGCTGACATGCGCCATCGGAGCCTGGTGCGTGAAATAACGGGGATGAACGGTTTACCTTTCTCTGTGCCGTTAGCAAGGCCTTGAACACGCTTTTTCCCACTCCGTGTTCGCAATAGATGTGAGCCGAACTTCGAAGGCACCGGTTTTTAAACTTTAATAGCCGTCTCTATGTCGGTTAATCTACGTGGCGATGTATTAAAACCGTACAGTAGCGTCGAACGTACCGCTGCATTGCACATTCTGCTCTGGGAGCTGTCACAGATGAGAAAAATCGTCAGCATAATCCAAGACAAATAGTCGTTTCCTTGTGAGCAGCTCCATACCATCTAAGTCATGTCATGTAAACGCAATCTCACTGAAGTCATCAACAGCGAAGTTGAAGTGGAAATTTGACGGCAGATATTGTTGTCTCACACCGCTGGATTTATTGAAGGGCAGCGACGGCTTGTGGTAAGCCGTTACTCTGCCTCAGCTACGCATTTGTAATCAACAGATAATACTTACTTATTTCGTGGGCATAATTATCCTGAAAAGGCAGTCCCAAATTGCACATCGATCCACCGAATGGAATGCGCCACCTGGATAACCAACTCAGTCGGGTCTTCAAGTTTGGCTATTACGCGCAAACGAATTGTTCGTCCATCTCGCAGTGGCGGTGTTGCTCTCTACTACCGAGATTATTTGAAATGTGAGGCTCTTACCGAAAATCCCTTATTATTCCAGACGTACTCTTTTGCCGACTGCACCTAGCAGGTCGAGACGTTGTTTCACAGAAGAAGAGTGATGCTTGCTTCTTAGCGGTTAACTATAGACATCCGAACTCATCAGCATCCAGCGAAAACATTCTGTTAAACGCCCTCCGCTATGCTGTTTCACAAAAGTACTCTTACTATCATATAATGGGTGACTTTAATGTTCCTTTAGTAGCATCAATGTCCCTTAATGGGCCATCATTTAAAACGAAACTCCTCGAATTCATGGATATGGCAGTTTTGTATAATCATGTGCATCGACCAACCAGACATCGCGGTTCAAACAAGCCATCATTCCTGGACTTAATCCTGACTAATGAAGAGTTGATGGTTGAGTCAATAGCATACGATCCTCCACTGGGCCGTAGCGACCATCCAGTCCTAACATTTAGTTATGTATGTTATGAAGTATTGTTGCTAAATATAGCGAGACTCAACGTAATATTATGGACTCATGTAAGCTGCACAGGTTAGCAGCAACCGTTGACTGTGACCTACAGACGCACAGCTCAGTGAATGACGCCTGAAATGTATTGAAAAACAAAATTAATTGGGTTATACAATCAGCATCGAAGGTTGTAAACTTACTAGCACCGCGCCGGACCAATACATGGATAAGGAGTAGAACACGTAAATGGATCAACAGAAGAGATGAAATCTGGAGGCAACATTTGCTTAGCCCATGTGATAAAACGTGGCAGCATTACAAAATCATCAGAAACTACTGCACGTCACTCATTAGAATCGATAAGTACGAATGACAGGAGAATGTGGTGCTGAAATTTACGAGTAACACCAAACTGCTATACAGATTTGTGAATGGCATAAGAAAGGTTAAGCCCGGAATACCACCACTCAGGACGGCCAGTGGCCTAACAACTACTGCTGTGGATGCCGCGAATGCTCTACTCTTGCAGTTTGGCTCGGTAGCTATAAGTACCATGGAACCTTTGCCCTATCAACTCCCAACTAATTCGTTGGCTTATCCAGCGTCATATTTTCTCCAGCAGCTGTTGCAAGCAAACTACAGTCTCTCCGGGAGTACAATGCCACTGGAATCGACATGGTCTGCCCAGAAGTATTAAAAACCCGTGCTCCTACCATAGCAGTACCACTTGC